GTTAATTTGAAAGAGGAATTACTATCTGATAGGTTTTTATGTATGTGTCATGGAATGATTTTTTTTGTATAATGCGGAATATCTGCGAAATGGTCCAACTTTTTTCAAAATTAAAAAAAATCCAAGTAGTTTTTGAGTTTTTTTACAGTGGACCAAAAACATTCTTAAAGTCGGTTTTCGTAATATATTTTTTTTATAGTATAAGGTTACAGACTAGCCGCATTTGCAGATGTTACCTGCTTTTTTAACAGAGGACATAGAAAGAGAATATTTCCCCTACCTATGGGTCCTATCCCCTGCCAAATTCACTTAACTATGAGGAAAATGTTTAATTTCTTACAGTTCATATAGATTTGGAGGACAGATACAAAAGTATTTCGGACAAAAGGTACCCCGGCGGCGGGTGAAGTGGGCAACAAGTGTATGCTGTCCAGTCAATGTAGGTGAGTGTACACTTTATTGCAAAAATGTCCACACAGACATTTTAACAGTGGTAGTGGCCGCTTTAACATCTTAGCACTGCAAAGCCGGCTCGCCCCCAGTAATACCACGACCACACAGAAGACAGGCGTGAAGTGGAAGCAATTCCGTGTTTCGTCTGATGAGTGTAGTGCCAGAGGCCTGATTTTAGTCCCTTTCCCTTTCCACCCTTTTCTTAAGTCCTCTTAAGGATGGGAAGGAAAAGTGGATTTGACGGTGTGAATGTTTACTTTGTTTCAGGATACATAAACATTATAAGATGACATATTTTTTCGTCTGTGATGACCTTTTGATAATTTATTTATTATTAATTAATTTATGAAATGTTTGTTTTTAAAATACTATAAAATTGTTTGATAACCTGCAAAGTTGTTTTTTTTAGAAACACCTTTTGTATCGATCTTTAAACGTTTATAAGGTTCTAGCTTTCGACTGCGTGCAATTAAAAAAATAATAAAAAAACATAGCCTATACTGATAATGTAGCTTTTTAATGGTGAAAGAATTTTTGTAGTTTTTTAGTTATTTCAATACATACAAAAATCCAAACCCTTTTTCCTCTTTATATTATAATACGAGCTTTCGCCCACGACTCCGTCCGCGTGGAAGTAAAAAAATCAAAAGTGAGTAGTCTATGTGTTCTTCCAGACTATCCTCTACATCTATGCCAAACTTCACCGAGATCCGTTCAGTCGTTTGGGCTACAAACTCTAACAAACATCCATCCATCTAAACTTTCGCATTTATATTAGTAAGATAGATTTAATGATGTCTGTTTTAAAATATTTGTACAGTTTTTGTCACTAAAGACTATTGAAAATCAAACTACACTCAGTTTTTTCTAATAATTTATTCTACTAGCAATATTTTAATACAAGTAACAGTGGGACAATTACATAAACATTGACTACTTGTCCATATTTAACTAAAGCGGTTAAAATTACAAACACATGAAGTTACTGTCGAACTAAATGATTTCGTAATTTACAATAACATAAGAGTAAGAAAATAAAATGCTTTGTATGAAAGTAATTTAATTTTACGACTAAAATACTACAACTAGAGAAACAATACACATAACAAAAACATTTCAAGCAAAATTCAAATCCAGAAAACATAACAAAATAAAATTAACAAAAGTCTTATTTGTCAACCCTAGGGCGAAGCTTGTTTATGTCTATTTTGTGACAACCCTGTTGGATTAACATTTTTAACAGCTAGAAAATAAAACTAAAGGCCTGTCCCACCAAATTGATAATATATGTGATGGAAATATCGGATTTTGTTCCCTTATCTAACGGTGACGTCATTTTATGCTGAGCCTCTATCAGCCAGTGGTGGGACAGGCCCTTAATTTGTCAATCCCTAGAGTACAGTTATCAAGAATCCATTTTGTGACAATTCTGTACTATAAAGTGTGTATTTTCCAACTACCCTCTTAAGCCAGGTATCAAATGCCTTGATTTGCTATCTCTGTTTTATTCAAAGAGAAAGACAGAGATAGCTATCTCGCGGAAGATCAGCGTTGGTACTTCAATAGGAGCATCCAGCATTTATAGCTGAGCGAGGACCCAATCCGGTCAGCATTGCAACGCTAATTTTAAATATTTCTTTTTTTTTTCATTTCATTAGTTATGTTTCTCATTATCTTGTGTTTTAATATTTTTTTTCATAATTGTAGTGTTGACAAGGATTAAACATTATTTTATTTATTTATTTATAGATAACCTTACCGATTTGTCCATGGTTATGCATTTATCTACCTCTCACTTGCATGCAAACTATTTACTCGAAGGGCGCTGTTATAATTGTACATAGATTTTTTGATACGTTAAAAGACCATTATTTTTAAAAATGTGATTTTTTAAGGTTTTAAAATGATCTCAAACCATGGACAAATCCTTTTATCATAGACAAATAAGGCTATTCTTTCAGCTTTCTTCACACTGTCACATAAAACCTGTTTCATTGCGTCACTAATATTTTGCAACTACCCACATTAGGGTAGTCATACACTAGGGTTGTCAAAACACTGTTTTAACTACCTTTTCAGGTAGCGAAATATTAGAATAAGACAGTAGGCTCGTCCAGCGGGTGGTCGCAGTTGTCGCTGCCGCGGCAAGCCAGCAGGCGCGCCAGTGTCAGCTTGTACCAGTGGCGCAGCGCGGGCAGCGCGCGCGGCGCTATGTTGTACAGCTCGTATGGGTCCGCTGACAGATCGTACATCTCCGTGAAACTCTGGAAGATACAAAGTTATAGACATCGCCAGGGGGCGCAGCTACCCCCTCCCCACCTATATTCATATATGGACGTGCCCAAGGGGAAGTAACTAAGTAACAACCCACTCCCTCCATCTAGAGACGAAAAGAAAGCAATTTACAATACTAAGGTTCTCCAATATCTAGAAATCAGTGTAGATAACTGAAATTATATTTATGTTACTTTCAAAACACAAAAAATAGTATCTATACTATCATAATAAAGCGTAAACACGCACTCCTTTGTTGCCTAAGATGTCAGCAATTACAGCATATTTTCGAATAACTCTTTTTTTTAATAAAAAGCCCTACACTTACGGCACGCTTTAGGCTATATATATTCACGTCACTAAACTTTGGGTGTAAATATTTTGGATAAAAACCCTAATGTGGGAAAGAGACCATAAGTTGCTGCCAACTTCAAGGAAGCAACGTTGCCAAGGTTTGTCATGTCATGTCATTTTGACATTTGCAATTGATAATTCGACAAATGTGAACAACAAAATGATTTTTTTTAATTTCATGCGGATGAAGTCGCATGGGAACAGCTAGTTTATCACATTAAAACAAAGTGAAAATTGCGACATTTTTTAATAGAAATTGTAGGGTAGTTATAAAAAACTTACCTGGTTATCGGCAAAGAGGCAGTATTTCATGTTGATTCTCTTAGCGATGTGCCTCAAACAGCCGAATGTATTGTTCTTCGCGTCCTGACATTTGCAATCGTATTCTGGATAACATTGCTGGAAAAAATAATTATAGTTTGTCTAAATAATTTAGATTAGTTTGATAAATGACGCATATGAAGTATCGAATTCAATTTGTATGAAAGCAAATGCCGTACTTAATAGACAGGTATCGTAGTGACGAAACAAACACACAGCGACCAATTTTGAACTATCGATATTCGGTTTAAATAATTATCGAAATCAACTAAAATTATTATTTTCTTATTAACTAATTTATAGGACAAGTCTAGTATTGATTATAATGTAGAGAATTTAGCGATGACAGAAATAATAGAGAAATTCAATTCGATTACGTACGGCTGTAGTAGTAATAAACATTTATTTACTCTCATTTGCAATGGTCATTATTAATTTGAGAAAACAGTGTTTTTTTTTTCAATTCATAAGTTAACTATGAATCTATCGATTCCAACTTCTATAAGAATAAAAATCGAAAATCGATAAGATTCATGACTGATTTCACACAACCCATCCCTACTAAATTTGAAGTGAATTGTCAAACTAATCTAATTTATTTAGATACACTATAAAGTTTTTGTAATTCCATGTTATATTTTTTTTATAACATAAGGTGGCAAACGAGCAAGCGGCCACCTGAATCCGCCAAAATGGCGATGTGACTGCTGCCCATAGACATCCGCAATTGCAGATGCGTTGCTTACCCTTAAACGGAGGAGGAGACGCACATAAAGAGGATATTTCCCTATGCATCTCCTCCACTGTCAAATCCACTTCCTCTTCTCAACCTCTCCTTATAAGAAAGGGTGGTAAAGAGAAAGGGACTTAAATTAGGCCTCCGGCACCACACTCATCAGACGAAACACGGAATTACTTCCACTTCACGGCTGTCTTCTGTGTGGTCGTGGTATTACTGGGGGCGAGCCGGCCCTGTAGTGCTAAGATATTAAAGCCGGCCACTATCACTGTTAAAACCATGTTCGAAAGGGACAAAAACTAAAAGCTGACAACATAAAAGAAGCAAGGTTGCATAGTAACGATAATTTTGACATTTGGAATTGACAGTTTCGCGAATGTAAGCAACTAGCTGTTCCCGTGCGACTTCATCCGCATGTAATTATAAAAAAAAATATTTTATTGGTTACATTTGTCAAATTATCAATTACAAATGTCAAAATGTCATGACATGATGACAAGCTTGCTTCCTTGATGTTGGCAGCAAATTATGGTCTCTTTCCCACATTAGGATTTTTATCCAAAATATTTACCCTCCAAGTTTAATGGCGTTAAAATATATAGCCTAAAGCGTGCAGTAAGTGTAGGGCTCTTTATTTAAAATAGAATTATTCAAAAACATGCTGTAATTTCTGACATCTTAGGCAACAAAGAAGTGTGTGTTTACGCTTTATTATAATAGTATAGATTACCTATAGTTTTGTAATTCTATATCTTATTAATGTTATAAATGCAAAAGCTTAGATAAATGTATGTTAGAGATTGTATCTTATACTTCTGAATGGGTCTCTGAAATTAGGCATATAGAGGATAGTCTGTTAGACATAGGCTACTATTCTTCTTTATTCTATGCTAGTTATATTGTTAGGAATAAAATTAGTACTGTGCTATAGAATTGGCGCAACTCTAGATTATCGGCATAAACGGCACGTCCCTAGCTGACAGCTGTCAATGTCACTACAAGTATGGATAGATTGGCGCGTAACTTGAGTCTTGACGAGAAGCATTGCTCTGAGTTAAAAGCGATAGTATCAATTAAATAAGTTGTCTAATAATATATACTTACCGCCAAATTATCTTTATCATAACTCCAAGGACATTCAGGGTCAACTGTACCATCCTTTGCTTCTCCATAATATTCTACCAACATTGTCCTTTCAGTTTTAGTTTTATTCCCAATCAACTCTATAGGTCTTCCGTCTATCAATTTAGATGGTTTCAAACCAGCTAAGGATATTATAGTCGGTGCTAAATCTATATTGATTACTGGTAATTCGCTTGTTGTGTTCTCTTCGATTCCTGGACCTTTGATAATCAAAGGTACTTTTATATCTGACTCATAAGGTTGTCTTTTGTCATACATTTGGGAGTATTGTCCTGTGAAAATATCATACTAATATTATAAATGCGAAAGTTTAGATGGATGGATGTTTGTTAGAGTTTGTAGTCTTAACGACTGAATGCAAGTCAATGAAATTTGGCATGAATGTAGAGGATAGTCTGGAAGAACACATAGGCTATTTGGTTTTGTTTTTTGTAATACCACGCGGACGGAGTCGCGCGCGAAAGCTAGTATTAAATAATACTTCCTGTAATGTGTAAGTAGTTTGAAAGTAGCGCCAGTGGTGGAGAAATTGAGAAGCAAAAGGTTAGAGTAGTATGGACATGTTATGCGACGAGACGATGGGGACATAAACCTGAAAGTGTTAAGATTGAATGTGAATGGTTACAAAGGAAGAGGAAGAAGAAAGTATGGATGGATTGTGTGAAAGAGGTTATGCTTTAGAAAAGAGTGGATTCAGATATGATGGAAGATAGAGATGTATGGAAGAGCAGCACATACTGTGCCGACTCTCTATAAGGGATAAGGGCAAGGTGATGATGATGTCGTGTGAAAATAATGCTTGTAAAGGAAAAAACATTTTGATATTTCGGAATGATTTTTTTCTTTTTAATGGAATTATTAGATTTTTTTGTTAATCTGACTTTATATTATAAATGCGAAGGTTTAGATGGATGGATGTTTGTTACAGTTTGTAGCCTAAATGAAATTTGACATAGATGTAGAGTCGGGAAGAATACATAGGCTACTTGCATTTGTTTCTTTTTTCGCGCGAACGGAGTCGCGGGCGAATTACTTTAATATTTATTTCAACCATTCGACATTGAAAAAGCTTATGCTAAGATATGGTTCGGTAGTCCGTACCCCAAACTTTTAGGCTATTGGCTCTTAGAAGGACAGTTAAATATGTTTAAAAATATCTATATCTGTACTAATATTATAAAGAGGAGAAATTTGTATATTTATATTAAAAAACTCAAAAACTACTAAACCGATTTCCATTCTTTTACCATCAAGCTCAATTCACAGAGTAACATAAGGTATACTTTTTTTTTAAATGTCATCAGACAAAGTCGCGAGCAACAACTAGTTTGTTAACTTACCCATATGATATCCATTATCCGAGGTATATATGATATAGGTGTGTTCAAGCAGGGAGTTGGTGTCAAGAGCCTCTATGACGTCAGAGACCAGCTCATCCACACTGAGCAGGGCCTCCCAGCGCGAGCGGAACACGCGGTCCAGCTCTGACAGCATCTTGTCTCCCAAAGGTACTGGTGGCATTGACAGCAACCAGTGTTTATCCTGGAAGAACAGATAAATATGGTAATTGTACAATCAGGGAAATTGGCGGCGTTTCATTTTAAACCCTTAAATACCTGAAGTTTCAAATTTGATACGGGGGTTAATCGCATTGGGCACCTACAATGGTTTTTATTTTAATACTAGCTTTCATACGCGACTCCATCCGAGTAGAATGAAAAAATCAAATGTAAATAACCTTTTACCAGATATTGCTCTACACCTATGCCTTCCACCTAGATCCGCTCAGCAGTCTAGGCTACAAACTCTAACATCCATTCATCTTATCTTTCGCATTTATAATCTTACTAAGGTTATAAATTTGAAAGTTTAGATAGATGGATGGATGTTTGTAAGAGTTTGTAGCGTAAACAGATGATCGGATCAATGGAAGGTACAGATGTAAAGGTTAGTCTGGAAGAACACATAGGCTATTATTTTCTTTTTAATTCCACGCAAACGGAGTCACGGGCAAAAGGTATTTTATATCTATACTAACAATATAAAGAGGAAAGATTTGCATTGTATGTATTAAAATAACTCAAAAAGTACTGATTTCAAAAATTCTTTCACCATTAAATGCTATTTTTTTTAATTCGCGAACGAGGTCGCGTATGAAAGCTAGTATTAAAGATTCCTTACCTTGGCGGCAATATTAAAGTTAGGTGTGCGGTGCGCGGTGACGTTGGCGAAGACGCCCTTGTGCCGGGGCGCGGGGGTGAAGGGCTGGTGCGGCGCGGGGGGCGCCACCACCATCAGGAACGGCTCCGAACCAGTCTGGTTCTCGATGTAACTGATACTCAGATCTCTCTGATACAGACCAAAATATATTCCAAAACGCTGACGTTACAAACAACGAAAGGATTGACATCTGACAACTCTAGGTCATAGTTAGAAAGGGAAATATCGGACACTTGTAGCCCTATCACTCCTTTCATTTTGCGTGCAACAAGACTCTTATGCTCTTAGTATAAGGTTTGATTTTCTTTATTTTAACTGCAAGATGTACAGATAGAACACACTTCTGTTATCATCATCACCAACTCACTATACGTCCCCACCGAGGGGCTCGGAGCCTACCCTAGTTAGGGTGACTAGGCCATAGTCAACCACGCTGGCCCACTGCGGGTTGGTTGACTTCACACATATCTTTGAATTTCTTCGCCGATATGTGCAGGCATCATGATGTTTTTCTTAACCGTAAGAACGCCGGATAAATTATGTACATATGAATATTTCGAAAAATCGAACACTGGTACAGCGGGATTCGAACCCAAGACCTATAGATTACAAGTCAAGTGCTTAAACCACTGAGCCACCGATGCTCAACTCTTGTTGAACGTAGTACTTATTACTTCCATGCTAAGGGCAGTGTTCGTTTTGCTGTTTTGACAAATTCAAGTGGTTGCTTGCTCATTTGCCACCTTACTTAATAAAAAAAGTCGCAAAACTTACGTCTTGTTCTCTAGATTACAATGAAGATTACTAAAAACCTAGATTATCTAACATTCCATAGCATTAATACTTACGATAATATCAGTGAGGTAGAGGTCTGTGGAGTGGGTAGGCACACCATTGTTAGATATTGTATAATTATAGTAGACAGAGTTGCCGACCAATCCATGCCACTCCGACCATCCGGCTGGGATCTGTTCAGGGCCACCTGCTGCCTTCACACCGTACTGCGACCAAATGGTAAATCCCAATAAATTTGGAATCCTTCTAACCATTTACCACATACCCGTGTCAATGTAGATTCATTACTTAAACGTTACTGTACTTTCAATTGTCAATTATTATGGTAAAAATGTAGAAAGCCTTACGTATAAATATCACTGCTACCTCGGCATACACCGACATCAAAGTAATAATAATTGTTCAATACAGACATATCAGCTACAATAAGGGAGGTTTACTATTTTCATGCAATTATTTCGTTACTTTTTAGTGTATTGTTTTTTGAGAATATTTCGTTTTTAGTGTATTTTGTTTGGAAGTCGGTTTTGTTTTTTTATATTTTACTTACAAACTAGCTGTTCCCGTGCGGCTTCATCTGCATGATATAATAACTTTACTTTATTGTTTACATCGCGTAAAACTTTAATTTCCAAATGTCAAAATTTATATGCTCAAAAGACAATGAAGCCTTCCTATTGGTTGAGAATTTAAGTAACCATGGCAACTTTGATGCTATCGGCTTGGAGTTTTCGTCCCTTTCCCGGACGAGGATTTTTTCCAATTTACTCACCCCTAAGTTTATTAGTGTGAAAATATATTGCCTATAGTGTGTCATTGGCATAGGACTTTTTATTAAAAAAAATAGTTAAAAACATATTTGATTGCCGACATCATACGTAACTAAGTAGTGTGTGTTTACGTTTAATATTAGTATACATATAGATAGGTGTAAGAGAACAATCTTACCTCATTCAAGTATTTTCCGGCATAAAAAGTCTTGTAGCCTGCATCGTGTAGCGTGGTAGCGAATGTTCTAGATTCTATATTCTTCCACATACGTCCATAGCAGCCGCCACTGAGGCTGTTATTGACTGTCAGATGGTTATGTACATACAGCCCTGTTAGGAAGCTCGCTCGGCTTGGGCAGCAGATCGGTGATGTAACGTACTGAGATTGTATTGAAAATGTAAAAAACACTTAAGTTATTGTGAAATGTTTATAATGCTTGTTAGTAATGTAGAACCTCGATAAGTTAAAGTCCAAGGGAAACACAAATTATTTTAAGTTGTAGAGGTTTTAAGTTATCAAGGGTCTATGTTGTAGATGTTTTGGGCTCTGATGGGAAGGGAACGTATTATTTTTTTAAGTTATCGAGGTTCTACTGTATAGCTAGATTTAATTACTTTTAAATAATATCGTTTTTTTATATTTGTACTGGTTACATAAATTTGGTACATTGATGGCCTCGACATTTAGATTTATTTCGTTTAGTGTTTATGGAGTATTAATTTATTCAATTAAAATTTTAATACTATCTTGGTATAAACGATTTAATAATAATTTAAAATACAATGTGAAATAACTCATAAGTAAAATGAATTTATTATCTGTAGTAAATATCCAAATATTTAAATTTGAGGTCAATACATAATAATCATACTTTTCATACTATTATAAATTCGAAACTTTAGATGGATGAATTGATGTTTGTTAGAGTTTGTAGCCTAAACGGATTTTGATTTAATTTGGTATATATAGAGGATCGTCTGGAAGAACACATAGAGTACTTACGATTTACTTTAATTCCACGTGCACGGAGTCGCGGGCGAAAGCTAGTACCTTTGTAAATTTTTTTGTATCTTTAGATAAAAAACTACCTAACGGTATTATCATATATTTGATTCATATCTTCTGAAGTTAACAAAACTAAAAAAACTCACGGCATTTTTAAACGTGACGCCTTTATCGCCGATGAACCGTTGTACATTCTTCATTGGATTCTGTAAAGAGATGAATAAAACAATATTTTCCTTCAGAACAATTTTATTTCCTTAATAAGATATACTAACCATTCCACCAAGCGTTGAATCCTGATCATCCGTTAAGATTATGAGAAAATTAGGTCGAGTAGCATCTTCGCAAACTACACTTGAAATAACTAACATAAACAAGTATTTAATCATCTTTTATATTTTCTTAATTAATTAAAATTAAAAATAAGGTTATTGCGGCACCGCAGGCATCACTTCTAAGCCTGTACATTCACTTGCAATCACAACACCCACTGTGAAGAAACCAATGCTCTTCACAACTGACCTGAAAGATAACAAATATATAAATAAAATTAAAAAAAAACTTATCACTTTTAAGTGTTGACATTATATTCAAATATGATAAAACTCAACCACTAACACCAGTAAAGTTCACCAACTATAGGCATAATATTCAAATACAAAGATTTTTAAATCAATATTCCTATGAAATTGAAACAGGAAACTAATTTAATCAAACTAATATTATAAATGCAAAAGTTTAGATGGATTCTATTCTATTTCTTGTTTATGGCTCTCTCACAGCGGATTGGGCCAGTGTCAAGTGTTTGTGGTTTTATTCTAATTTGGGAGAAACTGACAACAAATCTCTGCTTATGGAGATGTTCGTGGGGGTAAAAGCGGTCTAAAGATTTTAAACTATTGAATTATATAAACCTGTTGAAGATGGATGGATGTTTGTTAGAGTTTGTAGACTAAATGGCAGAATGGATATTGATAAAATTTGGTATAGATGTAGAGGATAATCTGGAAGAACACATAGGCTACTTACTTTTATTATTTAAATCCACACAGACAGATTCTCGCGCGAAAGCTAGTACTATAATAACATGTTAAGAATATTGTATGCATATTTTTCTTCAACAATATGTAGCGTATAAAATGTTTAATTTCACACTATTGTGACATGAACAATGGAACTGAGATAATGTTCGGTCTCAAAGTGAGGTACAGTCACTGAAATTCAACGTGTTCTACTTTCAGAACTACTGCCTTGTTCATTGCAAGATAAAACCTTACAAACTACCAATCATTTATTTATTTATAATTGGTTTATCAATATAATTACATGATTTTTAAATGAATTTCTTTGTAGCATTAATAATACAGATACACATGGCATTATGCAACTACAATTATAGATAAACGCATCTTGCTTTAATTACATACATGCTTAAACAATGACGGAATAGTAAAAAAAGACAAAACAAACACAAAATTAATGCATGTATAATTAAATAGGAGATAACCTTTAGTAAGATTGCAACATTCTTTTGTTGAAATCAGTAAAAAAAAATTTAGACTTACATTTAATCAGGAATATCAATAAAGTGTACATATTTGATTAGTGTAAATATTAACAAATTACAAACTACACAACCAATGAATGAGCAATATTGGCGCATCTGCTGTGTACGGGTAATACGAGGAGAACTATTATGCACACATTGTTGGTTGACATTAAAAGTTACATAAATAATTAATGATCTTATTGTTGAATTCTCTCATGCATGTTTTAGACGTTAATAATCGTTACTGATTAAATTTAACCGTTTATTCTTGCTTTTAACTAATCATGTTTGTTGTTTTTCGAATAATCACATTTGTAATAGGTTATAATAACTCACCATTTGAATGGGTCGTAATAAAAGTCTTTCAAGAAGGCAACGGCACCAGTTTTGCCCATTATTTTTACTGGAACAATTAATTCAATAGAATATGAATTCCTGAATTTATGTAATAAGACAAAATTTTATTTCAAATAACAACAAATGATGGCAAAGTAGACGTGAGCGTTATTTCACGTCACTAGTTACAATCACCTGTGACGAGATATGTAACGGCGTCACTAGTTTCGAGTCAAATTGAAAG